GTTTTTGCGATTAAAAAAATGGGGCGCGTGGGGGAAATGTGTGTAATGCGGGAGTGGGACCCACGGGGCTGCCACGTGCGAGGTGTGTGCCGATGATGGAGGAAAAGTTGCAGTTTTGGGGGGTGTGGGGCCCGCGGGATTTTCTGTTTCGTTTTGGTACGTTTTGTCTCCATTCGTTATAACTGGTTGTGTGTGCGTGTCTGGCCACGGGACAGCCTTGCCTACGTTGTTTGGGGAGTTATCATGTGCTGCGCTGGTGCACCGCAATACTTTATTCTTTGTTTTTGTTTTTTTTTTCCAGAAAAGAAAAAAGAAGCTTGTAATAATAACATGAGTAATGATAATGATTTCGTAATTAAATTAAAAATATTAATTGTGTTTTAATTTTAAATATTTATTTTTAGAAGATAATGCAATATTGTTTATGTATAAAAATGACATTCGTCACTTGTACAAATTAACCCTATTATGTTAGAAAATATTTTCTTATTTGTATTTTTTTAATGAACTGATAACCTGATAAATTTATTTAATTAAAAAACAATTTTATTGTTTTTATTAATACTGATAGATCAATTAGTTGTTACTATAAAACACACACACATATATATACATACGCGCGTGATAAGGATGTCAAAACAAAATTTGTTCATATGATAATTAATTTGATGTATCATTAAGTTATTATATATTTTATAATTTTAAAAGTTGTCAATACATATATGAACTAACTAATCAAAGTACAAATAATTGACACTTATAATTGCAAAGCACATGGAGATTTATATATATACTATTAGAATAATTGTGCATTTATAGGTGGGATATCTATTTATATAACACTAATATGGGTAATCACTCATTAAATATTTTGACATATATATATATAATAAAATAATTGTGCATTTATCTATAAATATATAATTTGGCAAGACAAGCATTTAATTTTATTGTGATGCATTAAATTTTATTCTCCCTCCAATTTTTTTAGCATTCAATTTCATTTTTAAGTTACAAATTAACTTGCTTGAATGCCATAAATTATGAGCATAAATCAATTAAGGGAGTTACAAAATTGATTTAGCATAAAGAAAATGGTTGTAATGGCTCTTCTATTTTATTATTTCCTATTTGTTTGAGGGTACCGTTAAAATTTCGACGCAATTTTTTTTTTAACATGGTCTCCTATACTATGGCGATCATCAAGAGTCAAGATCAATCTCTCTCACACGTTCGCTTAGTCTTGAATGACCCTGTTTTCAGTAATAAACAATTGGACGTTGCTTTTCTGGAGTTACTAATGGGAAGTGTTTGAAAATAATGATATGTGGTGATGGTGATTCTGACGATAGAAAAACCATAAATATTGTATACAAACAATATGTTTAATAAAATTTAAAATCATTTTCTTAATTCATATTTTTTCTAATGAAATGAATTATGGTTATGTATTTTTTTTATATTATTATCTTTTCTAAGTATTTTTCTCCGTGCAAATGCACGGGTTGAGCACTAGAATGACTTATATTATTATCATTTCCTTCACATTATGTCACTTCCAAATTGCTTATTATAATTATTAATAAAATAATTATGATAATTATTCCCCGTAATTGGAAAATCCCCATCAGCAAAAGAATGACTTATAACAGTTGTTTATTCATATTTATTTTGCAAAAATTAATCCCAAAGATCAGACACATTATAATTCGAATTATTTATATTAATTAAAATAAATTAATACTTAGCTAAATTATGATGGTCAGATAAATTTGTTTATAATCCCAATACTAACTCCTTCAAAACATGGATGAATTTCAATATATTCTTATTTTATGGAAAAACAAAACTGGCGGTGTTTATAAATTCTTCCATGTACAAGTTCAAAAATTTCAAGGATTTAAATAGTCTCAAGTTTGTTTTTTTCTTCTTAAAAAGGAGGATCTAAACTGGTTCCCCAATTCCCCTCCGAGTGACTCGAACTCGGGACATGGTACACGCCAAGTGAGGGTACAATAGTCCCAAGTTTGTTAACCCAACTATGCTTATAGGTACTGTTTAATTTTTTGTCTTTATAAATAGCTATTACGTTTTCCTTTGTTGTTTTAATTATATCAATCAATTATTTTTTTATTATTATTGTTGTTATTATTATTATTTTGAAGATATAATCGTTAGAATAGTCATGTACCAAAATGTGCAAACTACCATCTTCAAAAGGTGTTGACAAGAGATTTGTTGACCAAAATTGTATGTGGCACGATCTAGAGTCATCAGTCGGAGGAGTTTGAAGATAATAATTTGTGTTGATGGAGATTGTGACGATAGAAAAACCACGAACGTTGTATATAAAGAAATATTTAATAATATTTAGATATTATTTCTTATTTTGTTTCAATGATTATGTTATTATTTTTATATTTATTTTTTTTTTACTTTATTCTCTTCTATCATATAACTTTCCGTGCAAATGCACGGGCCAAAAACTAGTAGGGTGGTATATCTATGTATATAACACTAAATATGTATAATCACTCATTAAAATTTATCTGATATTTTTTAGTAGAAAATGTTTCTAGATATTGTCTGACGATTAATTAGACCATTCAAATTTCAAAGTAAAATCTAATCAACACCATTAAATTCCCTTCTCTGAAATTTCTAATTTTTTTATATTATTTCATTTTTTTTATTTTTTTTTATTGTGGACAAGTAAATTTAAAATTGGATTTTGTCTAAAAGTTGTAAGAAAAGGAGGGAAAACGTGGGAGTGTGTTTCATATTAGTGGAATCGCACCGTTTTTTTCTTTTTTTATTTACATGGTATCAGAGTCGGTTCTATTGAGTCCGTGCGATGACGTACCCGTTTATGGGAGTCTGCTTCTAGTAGGCTTGGGCACCCAACCCAGTTGGGCATAGCCTTCCGAAGGACTCACAAGTGATGGGGCGTGTTAGAATATCACTTGTGAGTTGTCCTACATCGTTCATACATGGAAAATAAACCCACCTTATAAGTCTAATGAGCTACTCTTCCTTCCACCAATTGGTTTTGGTATGGAACCCCACTTGGGCTTCATATGAGTTTTTCCTTCTCATGGTGCGCTTCATGTTAGTGGGCTCGCACCCGTTTTCCTCCAATTTCTTACAAAAGTTTTGTATGAAAGGACTCCATTTTCAAAGCTACTCTATTGTACCAAAGAATCCCGTAAATCAAAGCTACATTTTACATTTTCAATCACCAAATTTTGGTTTATTTCACAAGTTGTGTAGATATCAATTTTCCGTTGATTGATACATTTGAAATGCACTCAAATCCCAAAAACAATGGGAATAAAGGGTGTCTTCTATTCTTCATTATTTTTTATGTATGTAAATATATATCCAAAAGTCTAATAAATATAAAATGAATGGGAATCATATCATCAAATTAGATTAATTGACTGCTGTCACAAGGCATTTATACGCGTCCCACTTGGGCTGCCAAATGTACCACCATGCTTTCTTTCAAAGTCAATTTACATAATTAAAACTCTTCATCAATATTATTTATATATAGAAAAAAATAGAAAAATTAAAATAATCCCACCAAATTAATCCATGTGTCACTGCTCCAACGAGGACCGGTAAGTCTACTGTTAGGCCGATCAAATCATTAGATCGATATACATGTCTTCGTATATTATTATTCATACTCTAAGATACAATATAATTTGAAGTATGATATTTAATAGTACGATTATGGACTTTTATTTAAAAAGTATTGTGAGTCGACTCGTCTAATAATTAAATTGTCTCGCAAAAGAATATGATTAAAGTAAATTTTTCTTTTCTCTTTTCATTATGTTGATCATCTCTCATTGTGATTATTGATTCACCAATCCAACCAAACATCTTCATATTATTATGAATATTATTTTACAAGAAATGGACGAATTAAATGCACCACCTCATAATTTGTTTGAATCAAATGCCGACAGGATATCTAATTGATTAAAATTTTGAAAAACA